GCTTTACAATATAAGGAAGACATTACAGTTACAATACAATTCAAGACAAGATGGTAAGGAGGGCCCTGCCCCTGAGGGCTTACAATCTAAAAGAGGAGGGGGAAATGATACATGAGGTAGCTGTGGGAATGAATTATGTGAGAATGTGAAGGTTCAGTGGTTAGGTTGCGGTGGGATAGGCTTCCCTGAAGAGATGAGTCTTTAGGGAACGCCTAAAGGCAGTCAAGGTGGGAGATAGACGGACAGGTTGGGGTAAGGAGTTCCAGAGGATGGGAGAGGCTCTAGAGAAGTCCTGGAGGCGAGTATGGGAGGAGTGGACAAGGGAGCTGGAAAGCAGGAGGTCAATGGATGAGCGGAGGGGACGTTTAGAGTCATACTTTGAGACAAGGTCTGAGATATATCCGGAGGCAGAGTACTGGATGGCTTTATAGGTGACTGTTAATATTTTTTACCATCTAATAGATGCAGGAAATACATTTTTTTCCTAGTGAAAATAGGTAATTTTTGGCAGGAGAGACACAAGGAGGGGAATTTATCAAAACTGGAGCAGACAAAATCTGGAGCAGTTGCCCATGGCAACCAATCAGCATCCACCTTTCATTTCCAAACCTTAACTGAAGAGAGAAGCTGATTGGTTGATATAAGCTTCTGCTCCAGTTTGGAGAAAAGACTGTGGGGGGAATTTATCAAAAGTTCCACTTAAGGTGTCGTTATAGAAGATGAACATGAAGATTATGAAATAGACTAACAGGTAGTCCTTTTTGTTTTCTTTAATAATGACACTGAGTTTGTATTCTACCTACATAATATTTGAACTTTCTACTTCCTCTCCCATTTGGGGACCAGGATTGTCTATTAGAAGATATCTTATAAAGTATACAGCAGTTTTTTGTGAGCTGCATGGTGATTCTAGTTAAGGAGATAGGCTTTAGAAAAAAAGCATTGCCAGGGTTTTTAAATCACCATGGTCTTTTTTTACTCCTGGGATAAAGTATGTATACTAAAGTGTGCTTCCTTTTAATGTGCATAGTCTGGGCACAGGTGCACGTTACCTATTTACATATTCTGAACATGCGGTAAAAAACAAACTACAAAACCAGCCCTTTCTGACCTCTGTAGCTATAGGCATTGTTGAGAAGTGAATCTTCAGCCAACAGAGGCTCTGAAAACTTGGCTCCTTTTTTCTTCTTTTCTCTGGTAGCAGAAACTTTACAGCTGATAACCTTCTAATGTAAACACACTGGTGCTGTAAGCTGTTGAAACCTGAATTTGATGTATTACTAAAGAGTAGAAGCAGCTAGAGAGGTTAGTAATAGCTGGTTTTAAAGCTTTTTTACAGCAAAAAAATATGTAAAATATTTATATCCATAGCCTGTGCACAGATGGGCTTTAAGGACTTTATTCTTCCTGCGTACATCTATAGTTCTGTTTTCAAGCTTGTGTCGTACATATTGATGCAAACTTCTGCATGCTCCTGGAAAATGAATTATTCATGCGTCCATTTCAGTATTTTAGTCCAGAACTAGGCAGCATTTAAAATTGTGTGTCAGTGTCCATTTCAGGGTCATCAATAGGCTGTGTAACAGCATAGCTTGCATGGAGAAATATAGGGAACCCTTCTTTCCATCCTGGGATTAGTGCTTTTCTTTTCCTGGTCCAGACATTTTTCTATGTGTGCCTTGCTATTTAGTACATAAAGAGATCCTGTCACCAATGTACAAAATTGGAGTTAAAAAACATTGAAAATCAAGTATTTTTAAATGCTTGCAGAGTTTTTCTCCATACATATATTATTTTTTATTGACTTGCAGTGTGCTTCTGAACTTGCTAGCAAATGTTGCTACTTCAGAAGAGTAATTTTGGCAGCACAACCCCCTCCCACCTTGCCCATGATATCGCTCTCCTAAAGGGATTGTCTAATTATGTCTGTGCTGGCCCAGTTCCTCTTCCCTTCACCTCTCTGCTCCTACCCCCACAGCTATACAAAAGGCTAGGTAAAGAGTAATACTTTAGGGACAGCTTTGAGTGTGCTGGTGCTGATGGAATCTTATTTAAGAAGGTGGGGTCCAGCAGAAGTTTCGCGGCTTTTGGAAGTTTTTTTTTGTTTTTGTTTGTTTTTTACAGGTAAACCCCATGCCTAAATTATATCAAATACACATATAATCTTATGAGAAGATTGTTGAAATGAATAGTCTGGAGAGAGGGTTTTTTTTTCCCACAAGGGGTAGTTTTTTCCCCCCTAAACTGTGTTTTAGGTTTTGTTATACGGCCAGTTAAGATGCAAAGGTTGAGTTACAAGCATCTACATTATTGTAAGTGCCTGAGTATTCTGAAGTAATAAAAGCAGACAGATGGAGAATCAAAAGGATGATAAATGATCAGCAAAATAATCCTATTGCTAATAT